ATAAGTACGTTGTAGAGTCAATACAACATCCAGCACTACCACAGGGTGAGTGACAGGAGAGGGGATTCTGGGCCCAGATAATCCAAAGGAAAGGATCCTCTTCCTTGGTTCTTTTTTTCTACCATTGGAAAGGAAGAAATGTACATGGGAGGTTTAGAAATGGGCTTGGGGAGCTCCTTAAGCAAGCTTTGTCTGTGTCAGGATCTATCCCTGGCAGGAATCTTACCGTCAAATGCATTTAATCAGCCCCATTTGCATGTGGAGCTGTGTCCAGTGCTATTCAAATAATGTGAAATGGATACTGTTATTACCATGTCAGTCAGGACTAAGAGTAGCAAGTGACTGAAACCCAGCTCTGACCATGGGATCCATGGTTTTACTAAACTGAGTAGACTGGCTTTAGGCCCAGTTAAATTTCAGGTGCTTTAAAGGTATCATCATGCATAATGTTTTGAAATTATCAGTGTACTTTTCTCTTTTGCCTTTCAAAGCATATGAATTTAGTCTACTCAAGGCATTTATCTGCCTAGGAAGAAATGAAAGTTCTTTCCAGAAAGTATACAGGGAAAGAAAACATAACACTCAGTTTCTGGCATTCAAAAACAAATTTCGCAGCAAGGCAATAACCATATAATTCAAGCTATTACCTTGAGAAAATATCCTGTACCATCCATTACCTTCCTCTTCAGAGGGTCGAGAACTGAGCCTGGTAGACAAAACCTTAGGGTATTATATTCGGAAGGTCTAGACCAGGAGAAAGTAGGGATTATCACAGGACAGAAGCAGTAGAATAAGACAAGAGGCCTGAGTGAAGAGATTGTATTGGAAAAGTAAAGATTAACCACAAGGGCAGAGTGAGCTCTTTCCCCCACATCTCCTCCAGAATTATGAGATGAAGAGCTCAGTGTTGGTGGGGCAGCAGGAGGCCCTGCTATGAACTTTTCAAGCTGTGCCAGGTCCCTATGAAGTGTAGACTCTACCCAGACATAGCAGCAAGCCTGTAGCCAGCTTGCCAGAGGTGATCATTGTAGTGAGGTGACTTAGTGGTGTGGGCTGCCAAGGAGACCCCTGGGAACAGGGTTGATAGGAAGTCACGGACAGAAGTCAGAGTCTGTAGCAGCGGGAATAGTAGAGAAGAAGCTAAGCCAGTCAGGGAACAGCTTTGGGAGCACTGCCTCAGATCACTTCAGATGAACCACAAGCTCCCCATCCACAGACCCCCACATCAGAGGCTTGCAGTGCACCCAGGACAGACAAAAAGTGGATGTTGTTTCAAAATAAGTACACACAAGGCAGCTATGCTCAAGGACCAGTACAAGGACAAGAGTTCCCTTCCTCTCAACACTATAAGGACACAGAAAAGACACACACCACCATACTACTTCCACCCCAACACGCCCTGCAGGGATGATGATCAAAACATTTAAAAATCCTTACAAGCTGAGGCACTGAAGTGTCTAAATGGAGGTGCCCTACTATGTCCAGAGTTAACCCTTTAGCTGATGGATTATGAGGATCAGGGACCTCAGGGCAGAACCTGTTTACCAACTGCTCCATGCATGTTTTAGTATTTTATCAATGAGGGCAGCCATAATGCCATGTACCTGGTTGAATATTGGCCATGCATCCAGATGGCATCTTTATGGGAGAAGAAGGAGAAAGAGGAAGCTATCTGAGAAAATGAGAGTGTGCTCAATGGGGATATTGAATTATTTGATTGAATCAAGATTTAAACCCTAAATAGTGAAGGACCACATTGATTATGGACAAACTAGAGAAATTCCATTTTATTGGTACATCCAAGTTGCAGTATAAGTTGAATTTACCATCTGTCTGCTTTCTTTTGTGTTAGTTTCACTCTCAGGCAGAAGCTCCAAGCATCAGCAGTACCCAAGGACAAAGGATGTCCTTCTTACTAGTGCCTGCAAAATCCCAATCAGGCTCCAGTTGGCTTAGCTGTGATAATGTACCCATCTCTAAACCAAACCCTGATTGGTCAAGCCCAGGTCACGTGACTATTCCTAGCCTCATGAACTGAAAGTAGAGTGAGGGGTGGCTCCCCTAAAGAAAATCAGGAGGCTGTGAGCAGAAAAATGGGATAATGGATGTTGGACAGGCAGACACAACAGAGGTACACCACTATTGCCTTCTGGAGTTTAACTTTCTAAAACATTGAGAAAGCACAGTATCTCCATGGCAGGAAATGAATTGGCACCTAGGCACTTATCCATACATTGATCAGTGTGGATAACTAACTTTGAAACTCATAAAGCAGATTTTTGTCCCCTCTTAAATTTTCTTGCAACACTGATTAAATTAATTTTAATAATTAGAGTTGGGAAATATAATCACCTAAATATCTAGTATAGTTTAAAGCTTAGTCCAGTCTATAAATAATTCCATTTAGGAAATGTTCAGTCTACCTCTTTATTAATGTGAAGACAAATATTTTACTTTTTCTCTGTGTATTATTTTCTCTTTTATAAGAAAGACCCTCTTGTTGGACATGGTGGCTCATACCTGTAATCTCAGCTACTCTAGAGGCTGAGGCAGGAGGGTTGCTTGAGCCCAGGAGTTAGGGGCTGCAGTGAGATATGATTGCACTACTGCACTCCAGTGACAGAGCAAGACTCTGTCTTTACAAAAAGAAAAAAATAGAACCAACTTCTCCTAAATCCGAGATAAACTGCACAATTAGTTTATTTCCTATTTTTTAAAAAAGCTTTTTATAGGCTGGGCACAGTGGCTCATGCCTGTAATCTCAACACTATGGGAGGCCAAGGCAGGTGGATCACAAGGTCAGGAGTTCAAGACCAGCCTCACCAACATGGTGAAACCCTATCTCTACTAAAAATACAAAAATTAGCTGGGTGTGTTGGCCTGCCTGTAGTCCCAGCTACTCAGGAGGCTGAGGCAGGAGAATCACTTCAACCGAGGAGGAAGAGTTGTAGTGAGCTGAGATCATACCACTGCACTCCAGCCTGGGTGACAGAGTGAGACTCTGCAAAAAAAAAAAAGCTTTTTATAGTAAAAGAAAAGTTTAATTATTTCAGATACAAAAGTAAAAGTATCATCAGCTTTTCTTCAGAGATTATTATTTTTAATGTCACAAAAACCTTCCACATAAATTTTTAAATGAACATGATTTTAAAATCAGCCCTAAGTAAAAGATGTTTAAAATCCAGAAAAAGGAAACATAGTCATCAATTTTACTCCAAAATGTATGCTGTCTTTTGGAAAGAGTTTTATTTCATGAATGATATCTTGATATTTATAATATATAGAACTTAAATCTCAGGGTTGAAAAACTCTTTGGGAAAAAATGTATTAATCATAATAAGGGGAAATACACTCATCATGCTCTAGTGTCTGAATCACATAATTAATTCACAAGGGGCTGGCTTTCTCTGTATGTGAAATCCCAGGTATTCATTTATGCATCAAATATTTATCACACCCTTCATAGCTTCTCTGCACTGTGCTGGGCACTGGGGATGTGAAGATGAGTAAGACAGGCTCATGTCTGACAAGAATGGAGCAGGTGGAGAACACGAAGCTCTGTGCTGGGGGTATGAGGGCATAATGAGGGCTTGCAGGAGGAACAGTTCATTTTCCAGGGGGTGATGGCTCAGAGATGAGCCGGGATCATAAGGTGCCCAGTGCAGTGCTGAGAACATACTTGCAGACCATTTATTGCTGTGGCTAAGACGGAGGAGGTTTGGAAATCTCTGACAGCTGAGCTCTGTGACAGAAGGGAACAAGAATTCCTGGTCCTTCCGACACACTCAGAAGAACGTGTAGTCTGGTGCTGATGTCCAAGGTCGTGGTCATTCTAGTCATGCATTCAGCAGGCAGTCACTGAGCACCTACCAGACACTGCTTGAGCAAAGCAGACCGAGACCTCAAGGACCTTACTCCTGAAGTAAGCGATCTATTTTGATACATACTGTATATCAAAATGCTGATTGATGCTATGGAGAGAAAGGAAACAGAGAATGTGAAAGCAGGGGTTGTAGGGTGAGGGTTGTGTAATATGACATGGGGTCTTTAAGAAGTCTAAACTGAAGACAGCGCCCTCATTTACCTGAGCACCAACAACTATGGCTGGTGAGGCATTAGAAGCCCTGTAAAGAAAGCGGCCAGCCAGCTGCCCCAGAGTTTCTGGGAACTGGCCAGTTGGAGCCAAGACAGTTCCTGGTGTGCATCTTCCTCCATACCCCAAGAGTTTTCTTATGTGGTGAGTGGAGCTGGTACGGCCAGAGTCTGAAGCAGTCGAGAGGGCATGCCTGGGTAGGAAACAGTCCTTTGTTCTGGGAATGATGGGAAGGTTTGTTTAGATGTAGGCAGGTCCCCAGGCAATGTCTTCTGGGGAAGAAGAGCATCCAGCTCCCTAAAGGAAAGATCTGGCAAGGCCAAGATAGAAGGTCAGGGTCCTGACCATAAGAGTGGACTGGGTAAGTCCAGTCCAGCTGGAGCGACAATCAGAATGGAACGTAGATATCACGTCACTGGAATGGACCAGGAGGAGTGGGCACATGGGGTACAGGCCGCATCTTTTGTGGGCATCAGGCTGCAGCTGGGAGGAGAGCAAAGAGAACTTAGGGTCATGTGTAGACCTTTAGACTGGAGCAGAGGGTTGGTGTAGGGTAACCAGGTTGCAGGGGCTTTGGAATCAAGTCAAGTAATATGTGTTTTTCTCAATCTACCAACACTGGCTTAGGTGTATCTTTGCCGTAGCCAGGACTTGCTTGTTCTGTCATCTGTGTAAACAGCACAGTTCCTTTGTTTTGTTTTGTTTTTTTGAGACGGGGTCTTGCTCTGTCACCAGGCTGGAGCGCGGTGGTGAGATCTCGGCTCACTGCAACCTCCACCTCCCAAGTTCAAGCGATTCTTCTGCCTCAGCCTTCCAAGTAGCTAGGACTACAGGCATGTGCCACCACGCTGGTCTAATTCTTATATTTTTAGTAGAGATGGGGTTTCACCATATTGGCCAGGCTGCTCTCAAACCCCTCATCTCATGATCTACCCTCCTAGGCCTCCCAATGTGCTGGGATTACAGGCATGAGCTACTGCACCCATGCCCAACACAGTTCTTTTAAACATAAGCCAAGTAACAATTAAATAAACTGTAAGTTCACTGGGAGGGCAGCTAGGAATGGGAAGGAAGGTGAAATGGCAAGGAATCCCAGTTTTTCATGCCCAGAGTGTAATTCTCAACGGAAACTAAGCAGAAAGAAACTTAAATAAACCCCTGGGAAGGAGACAGTATGTATAGTAAACAGTGGCCAGCACAGTGTGCCCTCCTGTATGAATACCAGGATCAGAACAACCTGTCATTTTGCCACTTTGATCACAGAATTTTGGTTAGAAAGAACGGGGGATTTGGACTTTGCTCTGAGTTTGGCTCTTGACTGTCACCTGTTCAGTGTGTGATCCTGGGTAAGTTTCTTAACCCTCTCAGCCTTCATTTCCTTGTCTGTAGAGTGGGAATGTGCAATCTGGAGTCTGTGCTAGGATTCTGTCACATCTAGTAGACTAGTGGGGAAACCCCACAGGGATCTGGGAAATCTCCCTCTCTTGAGGAAATGCAGGGAGCCAAGTACAGTGGGATCACCAAGAGGTGAAGGGTTGTACTGGAGGAAGGAGTCGTTCTGAGTACACTGTGGTAGCAGTGGCGGGACCCCATCCTTCACCCTACCCCATATCAGACCCGTGTCTGGTTCCTGGGCAGAGCTGTCGCTAAAAGCTAAAGCGACTATTTGTTAGTGCTTCATAAGACACTAGAGTACAGAGTCACTGAGATGGGAGCCCTATAAATGAGCATAAGAGAGAAAAAGGCATCTTCACTTGACAATCCACAGTGCAACTTTACCAGAGTGAGATGGCAAAGCCAAAAAAGGGACAGTTGCTGGGCATTGATTTGCTGATGAGAACATGTAAGACCTCCTACCCTAGGAGCTCCCCAAAAGTGAAGGGTAGAAGGTGCTTTGCAGGGAGCTAGGTTCAAAGTGACAAACTAGCATTTGGATGATTAGTCTTGTTGTGACTTTATTTGTGTATGCATAGTGTATTAGACAGGGTTCTCTAGAGAAACAGAACCTATAGGACATACACAGATTTGTGGAAGAGGATCTATTATGGGAATTGGCTCATGCAATTGGCTCAAGAAATTCCATGATATGCAGTCTGCAAGCTGGAGAACCAGGACAGCTGGGAGTATAACCCAGTCTGATACTGAAAGCCTCAGAATGAGGGGAGCCGATGCTGTAACTCCCAGTCAGAGGCCCAAGGTCTGAGAACACAGGTGACAGCTTATGTAAGTCCCATGTTGGAAGGCCAAAGAACCTGGAATTCTGATGTTGGAGGTGGGAAAAGATAATGTCCTGGCTCCAGAAGGGAGAGCAAATTCACCTTTCCTTTGCCTTTTTGTTCTATTCTGGCTTTCAGCCGGTTGGATGCTGCCCACCTGCGTTCATGAGGGTGATCTCTACTCAGTCCACTGATTCGAATGCTAATCTCTTCCAGAAACACCCTCACAGGCAACCCAGAAATAATGTTTTATAATCTGTCTGGGTGCCACTTAACCCAATCAAGTCGACACAAAATTAACCATCACACCTGGTGGGAGAAACTTGGCTAATACCCACCTCATGGGAATCAAATAGGATGTTCCCAAGCATGAGCCTGGACACGGCAAATACACAGCAAGTGGCAAATTCCCTCAGAAACCACCCAGGGAACCCACTGGAACCATTGCAGAACGCTCAGAACATCCCCTGGTGTGTTTGAGAATTTGATGGCATTCTTGTGGCAGATAGATTAATTAAAAAGTAACTTAACACCTATATTTGAGCATGTATATGTTACAGTAAAGTATACATGCTAACAGGGTTTGAAATTATCTTTTCTTCTCAGCACGTTACAGTTTTCAAAATACTTCAATGTGAATTTCAGTCACATTAGCTCTTAAGCAACAACCTAATCATATAGGATCCCCATATACAAATCAGAAGACTGCATTTCAAAGAGGTGAAGTTACTTGTCTTTCATAACCCAGCTAATAAGGGGTGCAGCTGGACACAAACCTGGTCTCTTTCCATTAATGTCTGGTAGAAAACTAAGACCAAAACAAATACAATAATGACAGGGGAAAAAAACAGCAAATAGGAAAACCTGTGGAGATAAAGACAGATGTCTGTGGCTGGACATCCAGGAGTCAGCAGGGACCTGAAACAATCTAACTAGAAAATGAAAGGGTGCTGCTGAGGACAGGGAGGCAGGGATGAAGGAAGCAGACTCCCAGTGGGGCCTCCCCTGGCACCCCTGGTGATAGTCCCCGGCTTTTCACATTTCACAGAGTATTTCTACTGCAACTCTCTGCTCCCAAATCTCTAAGAGTCAAAACAGAGGCTTTGCTCCTGTCTCACTGTCTGGACCAGGCAAATCACCTCTTGCGACTTTGGCAACTTCTGGTCTCAGGGTTTGTATCCCAGTCATTTCTACTTCTTGGAGAATTATTTACGACATTCTAAAAGTATAGAAAACCATCTACTGAAATGTGTCAACATTAAAACATTAGTTAGCCAGAAATTATGCTCATTTAAGTTACAGCAAAAAAAGAGACAGGAAATGACATTAGCATTTGTGGGCCAGCCTCTGTACTGGCCCATTTCTCACACTCCTGATCTCTTGTTATATTCACTGCAATATAATTTGGGAAATGGTATCATTCCCACTTTGACAGTTGAGGAAATGGATACTTAGAGAGGCAAAGTAACTTGGCTAAAGTCACACAGCTAATAAGCAGCAAATCTAGGATGTGAATCCAAGCCTGACTTTAGGGTATTTTGCAATATACAACAGTTCATGGCCTGTGAAATTCAAATGGAATTAAGAGATGACCAGCAAACATAGTTTCATTGCCAATGAAATTCTTGACTTTGCTTTTTTATTAACCCAAATTTACCAACAATACAATTTCCAAATTACCAGCTTCAGAAGAGTTCTTAAGTCATTGAAGCATTCAGGATTCATGGAGTCCTGACAATCAGGATTTGACATTGAGGAAGACGTGACTGGAGGGCCCATGTGGAGCTGAGTGGCTCTAATGTGAACTTTCATTTTTGACAGTTCTCTGTAAAAGGGTGGCCTATCTTGCACGGGATAGAAGACGAGGAAGAGATTCTCAGTCAAAGCTGCATGGTTTCCTCAAACTGTTTCATACAGGTGCCGACGTTTGACACATTCTAAACACTTTGCTTTCTTTGGCATCTCCAACTTAGACAACAGAGTAAGAATGTCTCCTTGACAGGAACAACGTGTGAAATGAAAGACCTCAGGTACTATATCGGCTCTTGACAGCTCTTCAGAAGAAAGCACCTCCTGCCTGTTCTGTTCAGTCCTGGTACAGGTGAGTCACTGCATTGCCAGCCAGGCAAGTATTTTAAGAAACAAAATCTAAGCCGGAACCCACAGAGAAAGATGAGGGATGGATTAGCGCCATTAGCTTTCATGGTGTCTTGTTGTCATGGTGCTAGGAAAATCACTATCATTTAGAGTCCCACTCACCAGCTGTTTTGCTGGAATTTTTGACATGGGAGTCTGTGGCCACCCTAACATAGGCGTGGGACACGGGCGTGCACACACGTGTACACCTGCAGCAGACACCCACTCTAGAGGGCTCATGTTGGTTGTCTGGGACATGATTCAAAGGCTGTACCCATGTGTATGACAACCCTGTTTCCCGTACATCAGCTTGCAGGAAGCCAAATGACCTCCCCAGCTTACCTACATCACATGAAGCTTTCAAGGAGTCAGTGACCATGTGAACCCCCCTCAACCTCTGCTCCTTTGTTCAGCATTTGGCTTGGGAAAACATGCCACTGTTGCCTGTCTCTTAAACATTATTTTCAGGCTCAGGTCTTCCACCATTCTGAGGGGCAGGGGGAACTTTGAGTTCTTCCAGGAGCTAGGGGTTGGTGGTAGGGGAATGCTGCCCAAGAGAAATGACTAGAATCTTTGTCAGGCTGTGGAACACACCCTGGCATTTCTGGGTAGGTGACCTCCCCTGAGGCCTCTCCTGGCATCTACACTGCAAAGTCCCCTGTATCTCCCGAAAGGTGTGAGGGTGGGGCATTCATTGGTACTGGGAGACCAGCTTTGAGTGGAAAGGAGCTTCTCTCATGGTCCTCTGGTGGGCCACACTGGAGGAAGCCCCAGATGTACAGTGCTCCCTGCTCAGACTCACACTTGCCTGCCCCCACCCCCTCCCATCCTCTTCTTTCTGATGCCCTTACTTGGGGGACTGCAGTGGCTGTGGGGTTGCAGTGGGGGTTGGGGGGCGGCATACCGCACTGCCTGGCTTTTTCCAAGTCCCTTTAATTTAACCAAATATTCGTATGAATGTAAAGAACAAGTAGGCTTTATCCCTGGGCCCTGTGCTCCTCTGCCCCAGATTCAGACTTAAGGGCTTGGAGCAGTTTTATTTTTATTGAAAGCCCAAGTGATTCGATTGCAGGTGGTCCTGGACCACACTTTGAAAAATGCTGGGGCAGAAACAAGCCAGCAAGCATATGGGATTCATCTGCTGTGAGTGGTAATTTATCTAGTTTCTAAAAATAGTGTATGGGCTGGACTGTGGCCCCCAACCCGCCCCCATGCATACGTTGACGCCCTAACCCGAAGTACCGAAGTACCTCAGAATGTGACTGTATTTGGAAATAGGGCCTTTAAAGAAGTAATTAAATTAAAACGAGGTCATAGGGTGGGTTCTAATGCAGTGTAACTTGTGTCCTTATACGAAGAAATTAGGACACAGACCCACACAGAGGGAGGACCATGTGAAAGCAGAGGGAGAACACAGCTGCGTGCAAGCCACAGAGAGAGCCCTTCGAGGAAACCAACCCTGTGGACAATTTGATCTGAGGATTCCAGCCTCCAGAACTGTGAGAAAATAGATTTCTGTTGTTTAAGTTACCCAGTCTGTGGTATTTTGCTAAGGCAGTGAAGCTGTCTAATACAAACAGAAGCCTGATTTCACTTAATAATCATCTCAGAAGGTAGAGATTGCTCCAACCTATTGTATAAACAAGGCTGGTTTGTGAATCAAAGAACGTGAGCCCCAGACCTGGAGTCGCAGAGGTAGCATGACACGCACAGACAGCATGCCTTCCAGTGGCAGGCATTCCCACACTCAGAGACTCAAAGAACCTTCCTCCCTAGCCTTCCACCTGAGTGACTTTAGACAAGACAGCTATTGTTATTTTATTTAACAAATATGTATATAGTGCTTATTATGTGCCAGATGATAGTCTGTGCACTGTGCAAATATTAACTCATTTAATCCCCATTATAACCCTGTGATATATACACTGAAGAGCCACAGTCTCTTATTCAAACCCTTGCTTGGGGCCAGCAGTGGTTGGCATGTCAGAACTTGCAGATTTAAGAAAGATATACAGCATATGTACCGTAGGCTTCATAACACCTCATGGCATCTGCAACAGCGTCCTGTTATGAAACATACTAATGTTTCTAGTTTCTGTAGTGACACATATATATGTTGCATAAGTAAAGACTCTAAGTACCTTTGTGTCAATTCAAGACACAGGGATACTTTTATTCAATGTGCTTGTTTCAAGTCAGGTTTTGCTGCCAAATGAGTTATAAATACATTTTTTCATATTTTGGAGCTTTTAAAGTTTCAAAATCATTGGCCTGTATTAGCCCCATCTTACAGATGAAGAAACTGAGGCACAGGAGCTTAAACAACTTACCCACATCCATTAGCTCATGGGAGGTGGGACTGAGCTACCAACTCACCAGGTTTGCAGCCTCGCCATGAGGACCCGATACAAAGTAGGTAGACTTCCAGGTTGAATTGTGTCCTCCAGAAGTCATGTGTCAACGTCTTAACCTTAGTGCCTCAGAATAGATCCTTATATGGAAATAGTCATTGCAGATATAATTAGATAAGATGAGGTCATTAGGGTGGGCCCTAATCCCAAGTGACTGGTGTCCTCATAACAAGGAGAAATTTGGACGAAGATGCAGGCATGCACACGGGGAGAGCACCATGTGAAGATGAAGGCGGGGCTCAGGGTAATGCTTCTACAAGCTCAGCAATGCCAAAGGTTGTTAGCAAACTGCTAGAAGCTGGGAGGGAGAAGCATGGAACAGATCCTTCCCTGACAGCCCTCAGAAGGAGCCAACCCTGCTGACACCTTGACCTTGAACATGTGAGACAATACATTTCTGCTGTTTAAGCCACCCAGTTTGCAGTGCTTCGTTTCAGCAGGCCTGGCAAACTATTACATGACCCTTACCCAGTGGTGTATTCTGAGTGGCAGATCAATAAGTGGTAGCTAGTCATACTTATTATCAATATGACTGAGGCCTCAGACTGTTCACTGAAAAATAAAGTCAGTAACTTAGATTATTTCTAAGCCCTCTTTCAAGTTCTGGGTCTAATTTTTTATGTTTGTAACATGAAGATAATTTACCTCTACTTGTACCCCAATGGTTTGGCTCGTACAGCATTTCTTTATTGTTTCAGAGATGGGAATCAACCCAAATCAATGATAGAGTGGATATAGAAAATGTGGCCCATATACACCATGGAATACTATGCAGCCATAAAAAAGAATGAGTTCATGTCCTTTGCAGGGACATGGATAAAGCTGGAAACCATCATTCTCAGCAAACTAACACAGGAACAGAAAACCAAACATCACATGTTCTCACTCGTAAGTGGGAGTTGAACCATGAGAACACATGGACACAGGGAGGGGAACATCACGTATTGAGGCTTGTTGGAGGGTTGGGGGACAAGGGGAGGGAGAACATTAGGACAAATAGCTAATGCACGTGGTACTTAAAACCTAGATGACGGGTTGGTAGGTGCAGCAAACCACCATGCTACATGTATACCTGTGTAAAAACCTGCACATCCTGCATATTTATCCCAGAACTTAAAGTAAAATTAAGAAAACAAAACAAAACAAAAAAGATGGGCTAAGCTGGATGCAGTGGCACACACCTGGAATCCCAGCTACTTGGGAGGCTGAAGTGGGAGGATCACTTGATCTCAGCAACATAGCAAGGCTCTGAACAATAGATGGGCTAATGTAAATGTGGTCTTAGAAAGCAAAACAAACCAGGCTCAGTGGCACATACCTATAGTACCAGCTATTCAGGAGGCTGAGGCAAGAGGACTGCTTGAGCCCAGGAGATCAAGACTGCAGTAAGCTATGATCCAGCCACTGCACCCTAACCTGGGCAACAGAGCAGGATGCTATCTATAAAGAACAATGCAAAACAAAACAACAAACATTAAAACCGAAACCGTGTGGGCCCTAATTTGTTCCTGCTTGCATTGTGAACTCACCCAGTTCTTGGCTTTTCTGAATCTCTTCTGCTTGCGTCTTCAGGTCTGTGGAGTTAAAATCACAGTGTGTTCAGGGTAGAAATTCTGCAGAGGTAAGCAGAAATCTAAGTTACAGGTTGTTTTCTGTGAGTTAAGAATGTGTTGCTAGAACCCTATTTAAGGTTGGAACGTTTGGGTTCTTCATGTGGAAATTTGTCCCCAAACTGCCACTTCGCTGAGGAGATAAAAGCTGCTTTAACAGAGCAGCTTGAATACTTTTCCTGTTCATAGGATGAGGCATGGTTGGGCCCAGTCTAGAGAAAGAGGTAAAATGCTAAAAAGTTTTTCTTGAGATTTAGTGACAGGAATCCCCATTGTCAAGCTGGCTGGGAGCTTTAAGCCTCTGCCCTTGAGATTCTACCACATCAATTCAGAAAATGATTTGCTCTGGATGGGGTGTGGTTCCAAACTCTCATCTGTGGAAACAGGACCTCAGTTACTGTGTGTGTTCAAAGAATGGGCTTCAGGTTTCCTCCCAGCATCTGATTATAGTGTGTAGTGGTCCCTGGGGCTGCCTCTCTGACTTCCTGTCAGCCCCTCAGCCTTTGTCCAGGAAGCGGCTCCAGGCTTCTTTCCTGGAAGCACTTTTGCACCAAACTAAAAGACCTCTCTCGTCTCCCCACAGTCCAACCCCGCTCCCAGAGCCTGCGGTGGTTTTAGCATTTGCTTACTGTTTTTCGTCTTTGTTTGTACCCTCTCCTAACTTTAGAGGTATGCCTTCTCCTATCAGTGGATGCAGCCCAGTGGAATTCCATAGGGATACAAAAATAGTTGCCGAATGGGGGTGTCACTTTGGTTGGTGATTCTAGGCAATACCAAATGAGAGATTTAAATAAGCAAAAAGATCTATCTAATCAACCGAACTGCCAGCAAGCAGAGATCACATATTGTTCAGTTTTGAACCTCTGGTGCTCAGCCCTGAGCTTGGCGCAGAGTAGGTGCTCAGCACAATTATTTGTTGAATGAATCCATCTTAGTTTTCTTTTTCTTCAGACAGGTGTCTGACATGCATTAAGTTTAAACATGGTTGCACAAAGTTGAAAGATGATTCTGCTTCATAATAGCTGTCATGAATCATGTCCAATAAAAAGGCTCTGGGATCAGGAGGCAAAGGACACACAGTCCAGATCCAGCTCAGCCATTACCCAGGCGGCCCCAGAGTCTCAGCCTCCCTGTGCCTCGGTGTCCTGCAGTGCAACAAGAAGGTCATAGTTTCTGATCTCCCTTCATCACAGCTGGTTAGGGGAATGTGACAATAACAGACATAAAGAGAGCATACCAGAGGTCCTACTTTTATTATCATTGTTATTACTATATGTAATTGCAGAGTTGAAGTGCTCATAATTATTTTTGACTACCTCAATCTCTTTTCTTCTCCATGAGCCTTCAAGGATCAAAGCCAGGTTCACCTCCTACCTCAGCTGAAGAAATGTCCCTACTGGTGAGGACTTCTTGCTCAATCATCTGCTTGGCCAGCCAACATTTTCTGCATCACAGGTGATGACTGAAAAGTTAAGCTGTGGAAGACCAGTTGAAAAACAGTTGTTTGCTGACACAGTGCCTGTACTTGAAGCCACTCAGAGCAGAAACGGTAGGGTATTCTCACCCCGAGACTATGCTCCTCAGCAGCATCCTTGAACCAGCTGAAGAGTCCTCAGCTTGAGTTCTTCCCAGAACAGGCCCAGGAGGAGAGAAGATTTGTTAGGGGCAGCCAGCCAGTAGCCAGCAGAGAGGCCAGGAACCGAAGCCTCCTGATTCCAGGCCGGTTTTTCCTCTACTCCCCACGCCTCTCAGTGGGGACATTGGTAGGTGGTGCTTTGCTTCCTCTAGTATCTTGGTGCAGGTGCTGTTGCTAAGGCAACTGGGTAAGCATAAAACAGAAACAGCCCATGGGGTCTTGCTGCCTCCACCTGTGTGCCCAGACAGTTTCCCATCCTGGCCAGAGAGACGCAGTCAGGCTTATTGATCCAGGCCGAGCATCTGTGTTGGAGCCTGGAGAGAAACACCTGATCTGTGTGGCAGCCTGTATTCTCTGAACACTCCTCCTGGGTATGTTTTTAGACATGATGTTGAAGATGGAGACAGATGATGAGGAACTGTAATTGCTTGAGTATGCCAGTTATCAGTGTGACATGGCTAAAATTGTCCAAAGCCTGGGTTCTTGGTATATCCTTGGTTTATTCAGGGCATCTGTAGAATAAGAGGGCTGGAAGTATGGCCTCAAGTCTGAATACTGTGTCTAGCTTTCCAGCTGTACCCCAAGATGGGACCCTCCAACTTTCAGACAAGGGCTTTCTTAAAGAGCTATGTAATACTGTGTGGCTGATTTTCTCTTGTTCATGGGAAGTGTTAGCTAAGTAGTGCATTATCTAGGGCCTTCCTTACATCTTTTTCTTAAGCTTCCCTTAGCAGGCCCACCAGAGTCAGTCCCAAAGGAGAGAGGAGAGAGCATACGTAAATGAGCCACTTTGGCTGCAGTGACAGCTCACAAGCTGGTCAGATGATGGAGAGGGACTGAAATGCAGTCTAAGCTGCAGAAAAGGAGGAGACGTGGGTACAATTCCTGCATTCCCAACTTTAAGTGGCCCCTGGAGGAAGCAAATACCTGATGTCCACATGTAAGGCTGAACTTCACTTAGGGACTTGCTGGCTTAGGATCTCACTGTAACTACATCTCCAGTTTCTTTGGGGTGCACATTGGAGGAGGCAGATTGGTCCTGGTAGCTGGTCATAGAACTGTGGTCCTTTGAGGTCTGAGAGAAGTGTGAGATGCTGCAAGGGGCTAGAAACTCAAACTTTGAAATATGAGCACTGCCACCCGGGCAGGTGACCACACACTAACTCACCACCACTCAACAGACTCACAAACTTACCACCCACTTTCCAGCCAAATGCAACAGCCAGCGCCTCCCTACATGTCCTTTGCTTTTCTACTTCTGTCCTTTGCCACCTCTCTTCACTTACTGAATCTGTCTTAGAGAGGATACATTGGTTGCAAGTTCAGAGCCCAACTCATAGGAGCTAGGGAAAAGTAGGGCACAGCTGATACTTGGGGATACCTGGAGTCAGGGCCTCAGAGTTCACCATGACTCTTCCACTTTCATCTCTTCTCTCCACTTCTCTCCAGATGCCTATTTCATTCTCTCTCATGATGTACTGATTTCCTCCACATTGCAGGAAATACGGCTACCCAAATCCCTCCCTGCCACACACATGTACACAAAACTCCTGAATTTAACATCTTTAGGCTTTCACTAAAGATGCTGCCAGCTTTAAATCAGAAAATCCCAGGTAAGTCTAATAAGTAGCTGACCTTGGTCAGGCACCCACCACTGGACTATCAGGTAAAGTGGGGCGAGGGCAGGCTCATCGCATGCAGCTCCTGTGGGCTGTGTGGAGAGGAGACTTTCGTGTGAGAGGAGAGTGGTAGACAGACAATCCCTCAGATATCCCAGCAAGGCCTGCCTCCAACTTTAAGGCCCAATTCAACAAAGAGTTCTCCAGAATTCTCTCCAGCTCCACCTGGACTGGAAATAACCATCTCCTCGTCTCCACCCTCACGGTGTCTTCACCTGTACCTCCCCGTGCACTGAACACCTGTTGACCATGTACTCACTATTTGAATAACTTTTATTATACAAATACTGTGTGTCACTGAAGAAAAAAATGGAAACATAAAGAGAAGAAAATTAAAACCACTCATAATTCTGCCATCTGGAGACAATCACTTAGCATTTGGGGGTGTTAGCAGTTGTTAGATTGATGTCTTTTTTCCCTGCCTACATTCAGCCCTTCAACATCTCACCTCTCCGTGCTCCCCCAGAATCACCAAGTGCTTCCCATTAGCATGGGCTCCCTTTGAGAATGTTAAATAAGCCGTGAATAA